GTTTTCTACATTCAGTTATGCTAAGGTCTGGTCCAGATCTAGATCAAGTCAATAAGATGTCTTGATGCCTTTTCTGAGGCTTGAGTAGTGCTCAGCATAACTGATGAAATGGAGTTTTTCTTGCCCCAGCTGTTCTGTTTGGGTGTAATGCAGTATTGCAGTGAGGTAGAGTGTGTGTAGCTGGGCCCTAGGGTTACACAGGGGACCTGGTGCTACGCTGGTCCCTCTCATGAGAGGGGGGGTCTTGTGCCCGTCCCTGTCACATGTTGTGGCTGCACCTCACACATGCAGGTACAGCTGGGGGCACTGCTGTCTGTGCAATGCAGGCACCATCCACCTGGGCCAAAACGGCGTCTCAGCGAGGTTAATTAGTTAAACTGGCATTACGTGCCAATCCTGGAGCTCTAATCCTGTAGGATTATCTCAAGTTTGGCTGTGAATCGGGGGTTGTAAGGGAGTAAATCTGTCCCTGGAAGCCAGCAGATGCTCATAATTGGCAGTGGGACTTCAGTCATTATCACGTCTCTCCAAGAAGTAATTAAGAGAAAGCAATAATTAATCTAATTCTAACCAATAGAGCAACAGGACTGATTTATTTAGGTTGAAATTAGAATTTTAGTTTGAGTTTGGAAGGCACATGTTTTAATTGTGGGGTATAACTGGAACTAAAGAGCACTGTAGTTTTGTGCCAGTGTGTGAGAGAATTCTCAGTCTTTTTTCCAACATTGTCACTTGATAGACACTTCTTTTAATCTACAGAAATGTAACATAATTTACTATTAATAGAACTTAAAAATTTAACACCTGTGCAGTCTGATTGGCTCAGGGAAAACCTAATCAGTTTATAGTATATATTTAAGCAAGATGAATGAGGAAAATCAGGACTTGGGTAGAATGAAGCATCTGATTCTGTAATTTACATGAGGAATACTAGTATTTTTTTTTTGTCTGACTTCTAGGTCATATGATAAACATTAGATACTAAATCATCATAACTCAAATAATAAAAAGCTAAGGCTCCAACAGGAACTGATGCTTGGACGTGTTTATGTTCAGTGTACTGTGTGGCTGAGCTTCTGTTCTCTGCATAGGAATAAGGCAAACCTGTCATGGGATGGAAAATGAGTAAAATGTCTGCATGTTGGAGTCTCTGGGGTTTTCATCTCTAACTCTGCAGTCTTGGCATTGGGGCGTTATTTTGGTATCTAAATACGGATTCTGGAGCCTGACTTGGCATTCAGACCTGAATTTGAAAATAGTGACTGTAGCCCTCGTACACCTTAAGGGAGAAGTCCCAAGGACTAAAATGAATCATACCGTGATCATGGGTGGAGAGAAATGAAGAACTTATTTTTGTCAGTCTTCGTTTGGAGAGGAAGTTCTTTGGTTTTAATCTCAGTATTTTATCTGCCAGTGTAAGGAGATAGCGATAGGTAAGAGAGCACCTCTTAGCTCCTCACCACCTCTTTCCTTTTGCAGAAAGCGGTTTTGCTTGCCACTGAGAGCACTAAAAAGGAACATGCATAGCTGCAGAAAAACCTACCCCAGTTTTGGCATAATGAGCTCAAACTTGATTGAAATTCTTCTATTAAAACACAGCTGAGTAAGTAGCCATACAGTAATGACTGGAATGTGTCCTCAGTCTGGAAGGACTCTGTTGAGCACGTAGCATAGCTTGGTGTATAAGCTGATTCATTTGGACTACTGCAGTCACGCTGAAATTCACACTGGTGCATGGACCATGTCACGCTTCCTTAGTTTAGTGCACACTTTTATTTTTACATTAAGTAATTTGGCTTCTATAATAGATTCTGATTTTTCAAACGTACGTCTTCAATAGTAGGCAAGGTGACAGTAGGCAGTTCTGTTATCGCAAGTCACAATGTGCTTGACAAGGGATTTTTATGTTTTGCTTGATTTATTCAGCCAAAGATTAGATGCATGTGACTTTCTTACTTACATTCCTAATAATGTTGATAATCCTCATAACATTTATAATCCTCATCATCTTTAGTAACCTGTCTTTGCAGAACCTGGAAGGCATAGGTTTAGTCTTCTCTGCTGTGGTCTTTGGGGCAGATAAGTAGTGAAGAAGCACAAAGGAGTTATGCCACTTTTTAATGGGTCTTTGGCTGCTACTTGAAAATACATTTCAGGATTTACCATAGTATCTACCCGAACTGATCTAATCCTTTGCAAGTGCCTGCTCGTAGCATGTGTGCTACTGTTGAACTGTGTTGTGAATAAGGACTTGCAGTACCTAAAGGGAATCAAGATTTTTGCGTTTGATGAGCCTTGAAGACTAGTGACGGGATTCCTGACAAAAGTTATTTGAAGTCTGGAGGGTTTTAAGTAAGTCTGCTTTGAAATACTTTGTTTACAGTGGAAAATAACTTACGCAAAATTAGGGGAAAATAACTTAGGCAAGATTTGGACAGAGACTATGGGCACTGGGAGAAATCTAAGGTCACCTGTTTCCTTTGAGATCATGTTGGATCGATGCTTTTTTGTTTGTTTTAAGAAGGCTGAAGAATTGCATTTTCATCTACTGATATCACAGATGTCTGTTTGCGATGCCATTGAACATTTGGGGCATCTTAGATCAGGTGGCACATCTTTCCACTTTATCTTCTGTTGGCTATGCTCTTTAGTCCCTGATGCCTCAGTAGGTTTTCCCTCTGGCTGAATTGTCATCAAGATTATGGTCACATCATGGTATGTTGTAAAAGGTACCATTTAGCTAGGGTAAGGATATGGTCTAGCTATCCCATAGAAAAGAACAGGGTCGTAATTTTCTTGATCTAGCACCACTGCTGTCAGTAGTACGCAGAAGGGTGAATTAAACCAAATAAAGTATTTCAATTCCAGAAGCTTTTAGTTGTGTTTACGATATTGAAACAAAAGGTTTCTGATCAAATTTCTGTGAGATTCCATACATCATTTTTACCCCCCAAGTTTTGAATGAAAAAGTAGAAATAATAAACATTTTTATAAGTTAGGGGAAAAAAAAAAAGGAAAATCTCATCTGTCCTTCTCTGGGGATAACAGAACTGAGGAGAAAATGTATTTATTCCCATGTTAGGAATAGCTCAGAAAACAGATGCTTTGCAAAAGAATTACTCTAAGAGATTAGAGTTAAATGCACTGTTGCCAAAATTAGAAAATGAAGTTATTAATGGCCTTTCTAAAAGCGTGGTTGTTTAGATTACAAACTCTTGTGATGACTGCTATGTTTCTGAAAAAATCTTTGAAAAAGCTGCCAGACATATGTAGGGGGAAAAGAAGGAAACACTTTAAACCAAAACCCACCCACACTGTGTGTCCTGATTTTGTGTGTGTATCAGTCAAAAGCAAGTATTTTACCTGAAGGGTTCACCAGTCAGGGAGTCACCTTCATGAGGGCAAATGATGGATTGTGGAAGAGTTTATTTCTATAAAAGCAGTGAAAACGTGGCTGTTTCACAATATCGATGTAGTTTTCTGTTTTTTAAAAAGTGTGTTTTCTCATAATACATGAATTTAACTTTGTGTCTCATTACTTTAGTGACATTGAATAAAAGTTTTCTTAATAACAGAAATTATGTATTGATCTTAACTGATCCAGTCTTAACTGTTAGATATGAATAAAAGTGAGCCTTGTTTTTAGTAAGAAAAGGATTCTGAAGGACAGCAGTGTGCTTTGTCCCACTGCTGCTACAAAGCATGCAGAAAAGCTTTTCTCTTGAGCAAAACTCTATAGCTGAAGCCTTAAAGAGGGTCTGAGTTCCTCTTTGGGCCTTCTGGATCCAAGTAGAGTCCCAGCTTTGCTCTCCTTGACACCATAATGTCAGGTGTCTCTTCTTTCAGTTGTTTTGTACCAGGGTCAGGAAGCACATGGAGTCTGGTTCAGCATCCATCCATCCGTCTATCCATCCATCCATCCATGCTTTGTGCCTGCTGTGTTGCACCTATCAACACACTGTTCTCTCAGTCCCGGTTTTTCAGCGGAGCATGATGTTTCTTGTTTCTGCCACGAACTACTGCATACTGGTTGTTACTCGTTTCCTTGAGCTGCTTGAGAGGCAGCTGTCCTTTTTGCATTTGACGCTTCAAAGAAAACTAGGCAATGTAAGAATTTTTTTGGCTGAAACCCCTTATTTTGCTAGTAAATACATCTGCTGGTGATGTTGTGATAATGCTCGTGGGGGACAGTTGATACAGGAGGAAAATTTGCTTTATTCAGTTTTTAAAATAAGCACCTTCGCATTTGGTTACCAGAACAGTGTCTAAGGAGGGCTCGTTAGAGTGGCCTTTTTATAGGATAAGTAAGTACTTTGTAGGAATGGCTGGTTCTCGGTTGGAGATTTGTTGGGGAAAAACATTTTTACCTTCAAAATGGAGTATCTGGCCAAAGGAGCAGAGAGGAGGAGTGTGTGTTTGCACAGAGCCTGGAATAGCTGAGTGAACGCTTGCTTGGGCCAGGAGGGATCTTGCTTTGCTTCACAGGTTGGAGATACTAAGGTGCCTGTAAATTCAGCCAAACAGTGTCACAGACTGGGGTAAAACTAGAAGACAGCCTGAAAGCACTTGTATTCAGTTTTGGGTGTTTGTGGTGATTTTAGTAACAATACTTTTCCCACCTTTACCAGCATTTTCTAGTAAGGCAAAAAATACCCCACTTGACTCCCTGACAGAAGGATGCTTTTTGCAAAACTGCCACGCCCCTACTTTTATTTATTTATCAACCACTATCAGTGAACATTGCAACAATAATAGCAGTAATACCAATACATTTACTGCTTTGCAGGTCCAATAATTACAGAAGTATTGCTGCTTTACAGGCCTCCTCCCCTTTTTCTTTTTAAGGAACAGTGCTGTGATGTAGCTTTTCATCCATCTTCAAATGTTTGCACGTCAAACTTCTAGCAACATGGTGAAAACACTTTGGGAATCTGTTACCTTCCTCTTCCTAATACCGCTGCGGATCCCATGAAATTATTTCTGTTTCTCTGCAGATTGCTGGTTGGAGCTCCTCGGGAAAAGGCCTTTCCATCCCAACAAGCCAACAGAACAGGAGGGTTGTACAGCTGTGACATCGCATCTCCGAGTACACGCTGCACGCGTGTCATATTTGATGAGGAGAGTAAGTACTTTGGCGCTTATGTTTTGGATTGAAATAATTGTCTGATTTTTCTTCTTGGATGTGGTCCTTTCCAAAGGCAGAAATCTTGGTAGATTTGGATATTCGTAGTCTTTTGTAAACTGATGGGACATGAAGTAATAACGCTAGAAGTGTTTAGCAAAACGGATGTTGTCAGTGATAACATGTACAGACACTGCCACCTGCAGACTGTCTCATGTACTGTATGAAGTGCCTGTCCCATCAGGGGCTTTAAAAAAAAATAATTAAAAAAGTAATTAACTGTTAATATTTGAAGCTGTATTATGATACTCTGCAGCTGACCCGAAGATGGAGAGTAAAGAAGACCAATGGATGGGTGTAACTGTCCAAAGTCAGGGGCCAGGAGGAAATGTGGTGGTAAGTCTAAAGGACGAACTTCTAAAAACATTCTGGGTGTACAGTGAATGTTCTGAACGGTCTGCGTTTCTGTGCAGCTTTCTGAAAGGTAACTCTCCTATGCTTACTCCTGTGTTTTCTTGTATGGACTTAAATGTCTCCCTAGCAAAGACAGACACTTGAGATGGTAAAAGCTTTAAGTTATTTTCCTAACTGTAAGTTAGCCTTTCTCTGTAACCTTTGTAACAGTCTAGGATGGACAGTTCATTTTCAGGGTCTCCACTTTTTTTTTTTTTTTTCCTGATACACACATTGTTTCTTTTAAATACCATGGGCTACAGAAATAGGGAAAAAGAGTGCGATAAGGCTGTAGAAGTAGCAGGCTATCATCAGCCTGTTTCCCAAGATGATGAGCCTCGCTTTTAACTTTCATCAGGGACTTTGGCTGAGTTGTTCCTATAAATTAACATGGCCATTGCACTGCAGTAAGACTGCTAGCTATTCTTTATTTTATACAATACAGAGAGAAAAAGCTCTCAGGAGTTACCAGAGAATGTTACTTTTTTAGCTCTTTCTCAGTTAAATAAACCTGTCATGGTGCTGCAGGGTACCAGCTACATCATAAAATGGGCATGCAGTGAAGGTTCCCCATCTAATTATGTTCTTGCACATTAATGTCACTGCTTCCAAAACAGGAAGGCAGGTGACTTCAGGGTGTGACTCTGGAGTCACTTAAGGATATAGAGGCAGTAATAACTTGCTTCAGTCTGCCTCAGGACCCAAAGCGAGGAAGAGCAGACAGAAAGAGTCCTGCTCATTGAATAATTAATCATCTACTAATGCTAATGTCTTTTCTGAGAAGGAACTTTTCTTTGGAAGTGATAAGTGGGAAATGCGCTTATTAGATGAGGTGTGGGCAGCCTGAAGGTCACTGTGCAGCAGGGCAGTACTGCAGTGCTCTAAGTGTGGAGCAGCTGGGTGTTTGCTTAATATTTAAACCTTGATAGGACCCATGGAAAAGGTAGGTCAGCTGAGAAACCTGGCTTACACCTACTACAGCTGGTTCTGCAAAAACCACTGCTGGCAAAGCAGTTTGGTTGTTCCACCTCTTTTTGCAATGGTTTGGTGGTTACACCACTTAACCCAGTGAATTTTCATCCTTTGTGTTAAATATTTGATTAGAATTCTGTTCCCAGGTGAACAGTCTAAAAGGTTAAGGGACAGGCTGTGCTCAGCACTGCTGCTTTGTCCCAGTGACAGTTATCCCATAAGTGCGACATCCAACCTGGGAAGTAGGAACAACTTCCCTCCACTCCCCTTCACTGGAAGAGCTTTCAGCCTCTGCTTTGTGGCACTTTTCTGGAAGGGGTGAGTTCTGAAGATTCTCAGGTAGATGGTAGTTGAACCAGCTTCTCCTGTCCTGCACAAGTGTGTAAGCCATTAACTCTTGACAGCCGTGGGGAAATGCAGCCACTTCTTTCTTTACAAAAGAGAGGGTCGTTCTCTCCTCACCTCTTGAAAGGGAGGGATTAAGTATCAGAGAATGCTTTAGGGCTAAAAACCCTAAATTCCGCAGAGAAGAGGGATTTAACCATGCGGCCTTCCTTGACCATGAAGCTGGTTGTTCTGACTTGCATCTGTTGATGCCCAACTTTTTCCATACATTGCCCATTGGGAACAGTGTTGCAACATGGCCCATCTCGAGCAGTGGACTCTCTCTGCATTGCAACATGGGTGTGTCTACAAGGTGACGTGACTTACAGCATTGCTAGCATGAAGTATTGCTGAAGGTGATTGGCCTTCTTTGGTGACTTGCATGCAAACATTCAGAAAACATCACTTACTACTTCTTCTATCTTGCAGACGTGTGCGCATCGCTATGAGAAGAGGCAGTATGTAAACACAGTGCAGGAGACCAGGGATATCATTGGAAGGTGCTATGTGCTGAGCCAGGATCTCACTATTAAGGATGATATGGATAATGGAGTGTGGAGTTTTTGTGATGGTCGTTTAAGAGGCCATGAGAAGTTTGGTTCCTGTCAGCAAGGTGTTGCTGCTACTTTTACTAGAGACTATCATTACATTGTGTTTGGTGCCCCAGGCACATACAATTGGAAAGGTATGACCTGGCTTCCTGCCTACCCTTCCCATTTCCTCTGAGATTGTTCACAGGGTTTGCATCCCAAGTTTTTTTTGTTGTGGTTTCTTTGGGGGGGGGGGGGG